TTTAGAAACTAATAAATGAAAATAGGATGATAAAAGATTTTCAGCAAGGCTCGCAAATATATATTTTGGATTCACACACATTCTATTCACACCATTTTCTGAATTAATTTAATTTTTTAGTTTTTATTATATATTTATTATGAAAATATTTCTTTTCTGTTATTATCTATTATACATGCTTAACATAAAACCTAAAGTTGAAACATCTCTTAGTTCTGAAATTTAAAATAAATAATTTTATATATATATATATATATATATATATATATATAACTATATAATTTATGGATCACTTAAAAAAATCAGTAATTCTTGTTTGTTTGGATTCTGCTAAACTATGCAACATATCTTGTTTCAGACATTCAAGATTTTGTAGTTTCATTCTATCAATATCTTTTTGTAATTCTGTCCATTTATAAACAATTTCTAAAGCGTTCAAAGCGTCTTTTGTAGTAGGTATTTCAACTTCATTTATGATATTGCTTTCTTCATTTCTTTCTACTTCAGCTTCTGCAGGATAAAATTCTGTTTCATTGTCATCATAAATTTCAGTATGTCCTTCTTCTTTTATATATATCTCGTTATGTCCTTCTTCTTTGATATAAATTGACAACAAGTCATGAAAATTTGATTCATTTTTAGAATCTTCTTTATTTATTTCGTCTTCATGAGTTGAGTTTTGTGAAATACCATGTCTTCTTCGAAAACGCCAAAGCCAACCATGTGAAGCTTTAAATTTACCTTCTAAATTCAAAGTATTATGAATTTGTTCTGCCTGCGACATCAACATAGGTCCAGTTACATGTTCGCCATTCTTTTTCTTTTCAATGAACCATTTATATAAATATTTATCTAAAATTACATGATTTCCTAGTCGAACCTTTTTACGTTTAAGTGTTGAATTGTCATCTAATTCATTGACAAAGGAAGTCAGTTTAATTTCATCATTCATCCAACCTCTTATGGTGCCTTCAGGAATTCCATATTCTCTACTTATTGAGGCTTTGGTGGCTCCACTTTTTACTTTATTGATGAATTCAAGTTTTTCTTTCATACTGTACGCTTTTCTTTTATGCATGATGAAATTATGCAACGATTTGATACAAATTTAAAAATAAGTTTAATATTAAATATTGATCTAAATTTTACCGCTAGAAACACGAACACCCTTAGTGATACATTTAATATTAAAAAAATGTGTCACTTATTCCTATTCATTAGGAGTAATATTTTGAATAATCAAAATGATAATATATTGTATCCTTATTATTATGAAGTCGATTCGTAAAAGTAACTACAGCAAACACAAATTTTTTTTGACAGTTAGGTTGGTTATGACATTTCGATATGACAATATGCAGGGCTTTGCAAACATTTTGAGCAGTGTATCTTATCATAGACTATGGTAGAGGTTCAAAACATTTATACTCTTCTTTTATCTATGCATTTATATATGTATTATATATGTGTATTTATATAATATATATATATATATATATATATATATATATATATATTATATATATATATATATATATATATATGTGTGTGTGTGTGTGTGTGTGTGTGTGTTAATTAATTTTAACTAATTATTAATTATTATTAATTAATTTTAACTTTTTATAAAGAAGTATTTAATTTATTCATATTGAAGTATTTTGCAGCCCAATTGTAGAATTAAAAAAAAGATTAAAATAGATTTTTTTTTATTCTATTAAACGTTTCGACAATTAATGTGTCATCATTTAGTAATCTAAAAAACATATTACATAAATAACAATAGTTGATATTAAATATAAAAATATAAAATAATTAGAAAATTATATACATACGAAACCAGAAAAAACACAAAAATAATAATATCTTAATAAATAATTTATTAAACACTAAACTTGTGCAAAAAACACCATAACTAATAATAATTAATAAAAAAGAGAATTTAAATGAGCATATATTGCCCTCCTATATTTCATGTTGTTCGCTCGCTGTGCACAGTAATGCTACCCATCCACTAGGCAACCAGGCTACCGAGCAATTTATGACCAAATGACCAATAAATGTCCAGTTGTAAAAATTTTCGGTGTCTCGGGCGATCGAACAAAATTTCATTCATATTTCTTGAACATTAGAGAAAAAAGTATGTATATTTCGAACGTGAAATGAGATAAAATCGACTTTTGTTGCAAATTTTAAATCGTTTTCATTTAATTTAAACATTTATTTTTTATATAAAAATCATATTAAAGTTAATCATATAAAAATAAGGTTGTACATTTGCAACAGATGAATTTGGAATGAATTTTGTCTCAAATATATAGCTCAAAATATTGTTCAAATGTAGACTAATAGCAGTTATAACAAATTATTCACGATTAACATTATATTAGAACCTAATTTTAACCTGAAACATGGCCTTTAATCTTGGAATATATGTCTACATTTACAATTATGTTTACAATAATGCAGATACGAGAAAGGGTCGTGCAATGTGGATTTTATAAGTGAAATTAAATTCCAAACCAATGACACATATTTTTGAGGTGCAATTAAAAACGGACAACTTTTAAAACAAATTCAATATTATATTTATTTTTGAAAGAAAAAACACGAATTAAAAATCAATTTTTTATTCATATGAATAAAATGTTGAAAACTTTATGTATGTTGTATTTTCTCAGTATAATCAATTTTTTGTACTATATAAAAAGTTTTTTATTAGATAATAATACATCCCATCGCCGTTCTTAATATATTCATTTCTAAGATTTTATTTATAATATATAAAGAAATATTCTTATTGTTATATATTTATTTGAAATAAAAAATTATCAATGCAAAAATTTTCAATTTATCATTGAAATCAGCGCAAGAAATGGATTTTGCGATCTAAGGTGTTAACGGTTAATTTATAGAATTTCGGGTTTTGGAAAAATCAGATTAAATTCATTTGTGGACTTTCGGGATTAATACATTAAACTCAATGTTACCTTTTTCGAAAAGGAATTATTGACAGACATTTAATAATATAATTTAAATAATATTGTGAATATAAAAGTACCTACCTTTATTTAGAGAATAATAACGGTCCGTGCCATCATTCAGTAATTTTTTTTAAATATTTATACAGTATAACACCAGGAAAAATAATCACAAAAATTGGAACTAACATTATTGAAAAATAAAACATAATAAATTAAGTAAAAAAAATTCTTTTGAAGTTAAAAAAAACTTAATTTATTATGTTTTATTTTTCAATAATGTTTGTTTCAATTTTTGTGATTGTTTTTCCTGGTGTTATACTGTATAAGTATTTAAAAAAAATTACTGAATGGTGACACACCGTGTCGAAACGTACAAATAAATAGTTCACTATTTATTGTACTTAGAATAAATATTATTCATGCTTATTTGTATGGTTACTTGTAATATCTGAATATATATTTTGCAATAGAGCACTTTTCAAGTAATTTTAGATTAGTTTATTATTATTATTATTTTTATTCTTGAACTATTTCAAATGTTTTACTTAGATAAAGTATTATTCTTGGCTGTATAATCAACCGAATAAAAGCAAGGATGTTATCTGAAACGCATGGATTTATAATAATTTTCAAATATAAATAATAAATAAATATTAAATATTATGCACAAATAAATATAGAATTTCACCTACTTATTTTTACCTACGTGATTTTGAAAATATATTTTTGTATTTTACGAAAAAAGGTATCGTTTCGAGTCATTTTATGACTATGGTCTCATAAAATTGGCAAAATATTCAGGTAAAATCTGGTTGCTCCGCTCTCCGCCAGAACTGCGGACATCATTTTAGTCGCCTGAACTATTAATTTTTATCATTTTACTACGGATCTTCATAAAAATCTTTAAGTCGGGTGCTAATGATTCTTTTGTACTGTTAATTTTTTTTATAATGCTTGTTGAAACATATAATAGGCGATGTCTCGCGAATTCGAAAATATTGCCCATGACATCATGTTTCATCTCTATTTTGTATCTGCCTCTTGCTCATTCCATAATAAATCTTCCGATTGCTTCGATAATAAACTTCCTAATGGATGGGTACCTTAACACAACTGAATTCAAGGTTACGCGGCACGTGCGTTAGAGTGAGTGGATGCGGCGTGAAAAGAGGAATGAGAAACAGAAAAGGGATGTAACGAACGAAAGATTTTAACACTGTAAAGAATTACTTTTCATGAAATTTATAACTTTGTAACTGCCATGTAAAAGATGAGAGGAATTACGTTTGTTGACACAAGAAGTATTAAGGTATATAAGTAACGACTTAACTATCTTTCTAAGGTCACAATTTTTTTCAATATATAATTGAGAGGTAGGATTGGACATTTTGAAAGTATGGTTCAAGTCGACAAACCCTCTGAGAGGTCCACCATACTAATTGTTTGGATTTAAAACTATTTTTTTTGGATATTAATTTATACACACGCACACAAAACTTTGTCAAAAAATATTCATTCCGGTCTCTTATTTTTATTGGTGGATCTTTTGGTATGTTTTAACAAATATTTCTTGCATACTGGGAGTAGAAAAGTTATAAGCCTATCGCCTTTGATAGGTTTTAATTTTTTTTGGTTCTGTAATGCTTGCGAAATATGTCATTTTGTTCGAAGTTGAGCAAAAAAGAATAAATAATCAAAATTCCTCCAAACACTTGCTTATTGCAATGAAATTGATCGAAATCAAACTAGACCGGCATAAGTTAATTGAAATAGTTACGAATATCAATAACTAGGTACGATTTGACTGACACGTTTGAACTGATTACTGCGACAAGACTGTGACAATGACGCTCAACATCTGACAGGATTGTGGTTATGGTTTCATTCTTCAAACGTTAATAAAACTAACGAATTATTAAATAAGTCCACTGTGTCATTTTGTTCCTACACACACACACACATATATATATATATATATATATATATATATATATATTACCATAATTTTTTCGCATTTTAGCCAGGAGCAAAAAATCCTCCAAGCGTCTGATTCTGAACGGTTGTGCGAAAGAAAACTTTTCAGTGACATAATTCTTGGACTTCAAAAGGAAAACACGGCGTTAAAAGATGAAACTTTGAAGGTATTCTTTACGATATTTTATAAATAAAGTTTTAATTTTTATCTACTTTGAATAGATTTGCTCTTTGAGTGATTAGCTTGTTTTCAGTTACATATTAAATGTTATAATTTTTTACTAGAGTTGTATGAAATATTTCTGTTTCAGCATCGCACATCAATAATGAAATTAAAATGTAAATTAGCAAAGACAAAATCAGTTCATGAAAATAAGCGGCCATTTTATACAAGTCAATTATGTTTACCCGTGACTCAACTTATTCGACCGAGCAGTTTGTCACCAATTATAAGTTCCGACAAGGAACATATACCCAGCTCCAATTCATCAAGTAAATCTGATATTACTTCTGTGAAAAATGCAAGTTCTTCAATGAGGTAACTGATTATTTTATTTTAAATATTTTTATTATATCATTGCAGTCATCTGCAAGAAAGCGTTCGGTAATTCTGTTTGCTTTGGATCTAAACTGTGCCTTATTACGACTTTAGCGTCTTACCTCGCATTACAAAAATTTGCTTATTTCATTTTATCGTGTGTGTTTTTTTGCGAGTATTAATGTTTTGTTGAAGTATGCTTCACCAGTGTTCTTCATGTTTATTTTTGTTTAAAGAATTCAGATCGTTGGTGCAGAAAATACGGAAAACATTAAAAGAAAGCGCTCAAGTCTTAAAAATGATGATAGTGAGTTATCAACGAAAACTAAGGAAGTACACATCCATGCATCATCCCCAGTCGCAGATTTAACTAGAGATATTAATAAATACGAATTAAAGGAAAATAATGAATCAAAATTTACAATAGACATTGCAAAAAAATCAGAAACGCTTGATTTTTCCAAGAAACATAAAAAACAAAGAAATGACTTATATTCAGAAACCAAAAAAGTTAGCGTTTCAGACGGGAGTGATGAAAAATCTAACAACCAAGTCCAAAATAATTTAAGGCGCTTTGAGCAGAAGAAATTAAATGTAAAAAACAGTTTTCATAAGATTGAATATAATGAACAAACAAAGTCTGAAATTCAGCAAACAGTATCAGTTCAAATACAGGAGTCATCAGAAACATTTGGCGATCACGTCAGTGAAGTAAAACATGAACAACAATCCATAAAGTATAATAGCGTCCATAACGAAATGAATAAAAATCCACTATTAGATAAGGTAAAGCCGGGAAAAATAATGCAAATACCAAATGTGCTTATAGATGTTGATACATCAGATATGTATGAAGGAACTTTTAAAGATATTGCTAAAAAGATGAAACCTCTGGAAGATTGCGTCTTATATAGTAAACGCGTTCCTAATATTTACTACGCTGAACCAACGTCTTTTGAATCTGCTCCTCAAGGAGATATTCCAAAGTTTTGTACAAATTGTAAAATATCTGTCGAAAAAGAAAAATTCTGCAGCAATCATGTTCATGAGTGCTCTTATTTTAGTCGTAATAATATTTCCAGTCCAAGACCTTGCAGAAATGTTAGAGATGAAAGATCTGATGTTTCAGTAATTTCTAGTGTTAATTCTTCAAATTCACAACGTAGTAAAAGGAACAGGCGAAATTCAGGGAAGATCAACAACATCAACATTGAAGACATGGATGAGAATGAGTTATTTAAAAAAGTGTGTAAAAGTTTAGGTGTGCCTTTAACGCCCATTAGTTCAGATGCTGAACGTGGATTTACGAATAGATTTTTTGGCAGTAAAGAAAAGGCAAAGCAAGTTAATACATTTTCTTTGGGCAGTTCACCCAAACAAAATGGTAGTAGTGACAAAGGACTTGAACTGACAAATACTAATTTAGATGAATCTGCACTATCGACGTTGAGTGATAGTTCTAGAGATTGCGCCACGCCTGATTCTTTGATTCTAAATTCTAGCAGCTCTTCTAAATCAAAATTATAAGGTTTGCAGCAATATTTTTGAAAATTTTTAAGATGTGTTGTAAATGTTGAATCAAACAAAAAAGTAATGTGAAATTAAAAGAGAACGTGTAAAAATATATATCTTAAAGCATCTATTAAAACATACCTAATAAAAATTAAATGAACTTTTAATTTACATACATAAGCACCTCATTAATATAATCTTTCTTTTGTCGTCGTCGATTTTTTGTTATAAGTTATTATATTATTATTAAACTGGTTCAGTCATATATTAGGTATTTTGAATTTATAATGTGTTTAAAAACATTATCATTAAACAAACAGCGTTTTAGGTGTGAATTTTTTTACTGTCTCCGAATTTCATGAAATTTTGGAATCAGGTTCATCTTACCCTCAAGTTCAAAAGTGAAAACAATTCACTTGACACAACATGACACCCCTTCTCAATTGTGTAATTACATTTTTCCAAAATAACGTCGGAAATCGATAGAAGAACTAATTATAAGAAAAAAATATCAAAAAAACTAATACTTTTCAAGTTACTGACCACTAAAGATTCATATATTTTTGGCGTTTTCCTTCGTTTTTTTTTGCAAATATCTCCTAAAATATACATTTTAACGAAAATCATGTAATGAACAAAATAATGTCAATAAAAATTTTAATAAATCGGTATCACACGAAGTGTTCTAGGAAAAATATTAAGCAAGATTTGAAAGAGCAAAGTCGTTTTTTATTTCGTTCAAGATTTAATTGCTGTATTTAAAGCCATCTAGTGTTGAGGTTTTACATTTTCTTATACCCTTATATACAGTTATACCCTTTTTTCCTCTCCGTTTACTGCACTAATACTAGAATCACTTTAAGGATTTTAGATCAAGCTAGACTTACGGTGTGAAAGCAAAAGATTCAGTTTTAAATTTTTATTTTAAGAAAAGTTTATCAAATTTAGAGTTTTTGTAAGCATACTGGAGAATAACATGCTTGAATAAAATTATAAAGCAAACGGCGAGACCTAAAAAATTAAGCGAACTGGCTGGATCAGGCTTTCAGGATAGTTTGTAACTTCTTGCAGAATTTGAAATTGTTTTTCCATGTGAAATCCTTACGAGTTCTTCAGTATAAAATTAAATAAATTATACTGATGATAGATATATACATAAATTTATATTTTTAAATGCATTGGATCCTTTGTTAGGAACTGTTTAATATTTTTTTGTTAAGCTAAATATACTTAAGTAGATAAACTCATAAATTGTAATAGATTGATATTATATTATTTAATAAGTAAACGTTGAACTATATAAAAAATATGAAAACTATACTAATAGTTATGAAATAATAACATATTTTAAATGTGATATTTTTGTATATACGTGTTTAGTAAACAAGTTGCACCAGTCTCAAAACAAATATGTTTTAATTAAATAATTTTTATTTAACATATAAATAAATAACTGTTGTTACAAAGCATTTTAAAAAATATTAAATTTATATATATACATTGTTAAAATATCGAACTGTTTTCATAAAAATCTCTATCATTTGAGACCCTTGGATAGACGAATTGTAAAGGTGGATCTGATTGGAATCCATTATTTACTTGTCCATTATCCTGGACAGGCGTTTTACTTCTTTTGGGTGTGTGAATTTTGTATCTTCTCATTAACTCTTGGAGTGAAGCCCATCCAGATGTAGGGGGATTAGTTTTTGGAAGTCCTTTCGGTTTGCTATGAGAATAGGAAATATATGATAATGAACTAAACTTATACTAGTTTCACAGAGAAATCGATCTTATTGAAATTGATCAAATTCATCTGAAATAATTCTACAAAATTATCAGTAATAGAATTCAGCCGAATACTGTCACCACAATTATCATAGCGCATTATTATTATCTAAACAACCTATTGAAAAGTAAATGAAATAGGAGCAGGTATTCTTTTTTCCTAATTTACATTTTGTTATAAAACATTTAATTTATAAAAAAATAAGAAATGATATCTGTAACAAATAAGTTATTTGCTTTTATTTGAATTTTCTTATATATGAATTTTCTTATATATGAATTTGGGCATGAGGTAGATAAATTTTCAAATTTTCAATAACTATATTCATTTTTTCGGTGGTGTTGTTATTTGGCAGTAATTTGCAAGTCGTCATTAAAATTGTTAAATGTTAAATGTTTTATATATGTAATTGTGTTAAATTAGTTAATTTAACACAATTACATATATAATACCATGTTTCAAAGAGATCGTCTGAGTAATTCTGTATTTAATATTCAGAATTCTGAATATTCTCATTAGAGCATATAGTTGTTTGATATTAAACTATATGCTCATTAGAATATTGACTGTTACTTAATTCAACTGATTGGATATTAATATTTTAGTTGTAAAGATTTTTGCTGTTTAATATTAAAGTAATAATATCTTCATAATATTTTTTTAAAATTAGTAATTAGTAAGTTTGAATCAAAATATTTACCTTTCTCCGAAATCACCTCCGCCAATCGAAATGTTATCATATAACCAAGTGTTGCCTTGCATGTGCTGTTTTGGCTATGAAATACAATAATTGTTTCAAAAATATTATCTGAGGAAATTGTAAATTTCAAATCGGTAATTTGTTTCAAAATAATTAAGCATTGGCTGACTTAACTCAAATCAAATTCATCAAAAATCAAATTTATTTATCCAAAATAATTTATTCAATATTGCATGGAAATATTTTAGAATGTTGTCATTAGTACTTCAGATTGTAGGTAAATCATGATGGCATTTTTTTTTTTATTATGAATTTAATGATATTTGTTTGCGTATTGATAGTATCGTTTTTAATTCTGGAAAACAACAAGCAGCTTTTTAGTTATGCATTTTATTAAGAAAATGTAAAATTCCATTAAATTGTGTAAAAAATTGACAGTTGTGACCGGGATATATACCGTAACCAGAACTGGTCAAGGCTTATTTGGACCTAGAAGATACACATCGTTCTCATCAAGAACGATGATGCAAATCTCCAAATCGATCGATTTATCAAAATGTGTAGAAAAATTGAATTGCCGGTGAACTATTTTATTAACCTATACTTAATTGAAAAAAATGCTATGCATTGTTCTTACCATTTTGGTTTTCTCTGAAAGTACAGTAATTGTCGTGATATATGCTATCAAACATGCATTTATAAACCATAAAACAAATCCTCTCATTGCCATTGCCATCATAAGCCCAGCAGCCGTTTGCATTGCCAGAGGCTTACCGCCTAATATTGAGTTTAACACCTGAAAATAGGGTAAATTTGTAACATCTTCTTCTAAATCAGTTTAGGATATAATAGGATATAGTATAATAGGACAATTAGGAATTTAATATAATTTTTGGAATTTTCAAAATTGAATTTTATGTGGGATTGTGAGAAGGCCTTCAGTAGTGTTATTGTGATTCACAATTTGTGAACAGATTTTTTCGTAACCACACTGAACTTTTTAAGAGCACAATCTTATAAAAACTTTTAGGGAAAGGTCGCTGAATTGAAAAGTTTGACTAAACACTTACTAGATTTTAATGCATTTACTAATTTTAGATATTCCAAGAAAATCATAAAAGCAATATTTTTTGCTATACTTCAAGCAAACATTGAAATTACTGTTTACCTACCTATTTCCATCAAGATGATGAATTAATCAGGATCAGATAAAAATCTTCTATTTACTTACCTGAAAATCGTGAATGTGCTGATAATCTAAACCAAAGAATATGGCCAAGATGAAATCCATTATGCAAACAATACTCGTTATAACCAACCAGGCTATGACAATCAATTTACTTGATCTCTTAAAGCGAGTTTTGCCTGTAAATTTTTTGACATTATATTTATAAATGAGTTATAGAAGACAATGATTAAATATAAAGCGATATAGGTATCAATAACTCATCAGACTTACTCAAAATACTTACTCATTGCAAGAAACAATGAAGAGATAAACCAGAAAAAGCTAACAAAGAGATACAACCACATCCAAATATAAACATCTTCAGAAGTGCTCAGTTTTCTATTTTTGGCATTTGTGTTGGATCAAGAATTGCCACACATTCCTTTTCTGAAACATATCATGATAGGAAAATCAAAAAACTACTCAAATTTTTTAGTAAAAATACATTTATTAATAAAAATTGTTTCATTACGAAGTATTAACTATTAAATATTAAATTAATCTTTTTCTCAAGGCATTTGCAAATTTATATTTCCATTTAATGATTACTACAAATTTCTTTCCAACGCTGATGTTTCTTTGAAGTTTTTCTCTTAAAAAGGCTAAAATACCCAAGTAAAATATCGTAAAAAAACTAAGATATAAACAAACAATGCTATCAAGTTTTGTATCAGCGGAAATTGTGAGAGAATTGTTGAACAACAAGTCAACAAGTATTTGGAGTATATAGATACAAAATTTACGCTATATTTTGTACTAATAAAAGCAAGGCGATCGTGGGGTTGAAACAATTTAAAAATCAGTTAATAAATAATACTAGAAAAATCTACAATCCTTTAAATGCTTAAAAAATCCTATAATACCAGATTTTTCTGTAAGGTAATTCCGTGGAACTGATGGCCAAAACTCAGAATCGTTTGGAGCGCCATGGTTGATTTTTTGAGCATAAAAGAGGTTGCACATTTTCTTATAATGTATGAACATTATTATTAAGAAGCTTTAGTTCTAATAATTCCTAGTGAATTAAGAGTATTAGTGAATTTGATTTTAGTTATTGTTACCTCTAAAATATTGATGATAAAGTATCGTTGACAATGCATCTTTATCAATCGATGTTGCCGGAACCAGACAGCTGTGCGCTATCAGCCCGGTTATTGACAGTGCCATCCATATTAGAGATTGGGGCTGAAAATAATATTATAATTGATCAACGACTTATAAAGAATTTATTGATGATATTTTTTTCTATTCTCTAATATTTTCTGTAATAATATGAATATTCACGATGTCCCAGAACTCAATTGATCCCATGTAGTTTGAAAATTATAAGGTTTTAAGACAGCCTAGACCACCCTAGAGCAACCTTTTTATCCCACTGGCCAATTTAAATTATAAATTTTTAAGGCGGGCCGCACGTAATTTATATATGTATATATATATATATATATATATATATACTAGGTGACCAGACAGACGTTATTTTGTACCCATGTCTACAATTTTTTAATATAATATACTAACATTTACCGTTTACCTAAAAATAATGATTATTGTTTTTTATTACTCTTCACGCCAAAATGCATATACATTTATAATATGAGCGATGTTGAATGTAGAATATTGTGGAAAGATTAGTAAAAGATGCAAAGAAATTATATATTAAAAAAAATACTTCAAAATTTAATATCCGAATCTTGTGTTGGCGCCTCCTAAGCGTGCGCTCGTATTTTTCGTATGCATCGCATTAAAGGCCCCTGATTAATACTTAATTTCTGATTTTAAGTGAATTAATTTGTCATAACCTGTTCATATGTGTATCATTCAATCTGCTATACATATAGTGTATTTTATATTATTTTAATTTCTGGCACATCTCAGCTGCTTTTTGGCAATTATAATGTAAACGTTTCATTTTTTTATTTATGATTATAAATTTATTATACATACTCTAATATTGTCTAGGTTCATAAGTAAATTGAAATTTGTGGCAGATGATAGTTTTTGTTTTCAACTTAAACAATGACATATCGTTTTTTACATTTTTTCCATTTATTTCTACATATACATCCCAGCACTTTACAATCACATACATCCTAGAAAATTTCTTTAATAAACTTCAGAAAGTTTAGAAATTTATCCGAATAATCGTTTAGAAGGAGTATTCAGTGAGTGCTTGTAATTTAATATGAACTTCAAATAATAGCAATAAAGCTCAAATTGATTCTACGTTTTAGTTAGAAAACGTTTGTATGTGAAAAAGAAAAGGGCTGTTTTTAGGGCTTTTCTGGCAACTATTCGATTTTTTTTCGCCGTGAGAACCATCCTTGGACATCAACGAACATTTTAAAAAAATAATTGGCCAAATTGGTTCAGGCGTTGTGGGGTTATGCGCTTACCAACACATTTTGCGATTCATTTTTTATATAAGATATACTAGCTGACCACAGCCACATGGAATATTTCTGGAACATTATTATCTAGTATGAAAATAACTAACTAATTCTGAATATATAAAAATGTGGTATTTAAATGAAAGGGGCAGCTTACACAAATTACTTTGATAATTCACCCACTGTAACGCTAAAATAATAACATTCATTTTTGAATTACGTTATGTGTTAATTAGAGAATCGGAACTCTGAAAAAAATCCAGTTTTCTCTCAAAAACATAAAAACAATTTTTTTTTTTGAATAAAATTGAAGCTTTTTCATAAACTTAAAAATCTGACAAAATTAGCCTTTACAGTCGTGTTTGATAAAATATCTAGAAAAATAATTTGGTTGAGAAATGCTTGGCGGGCCGCGGGTTGCTCATCCTTGGCCTAGACCCGAGCTTTGGTCAAACTGTAACCATTTTTTGGTTATGGTTACGAAACTTGGCAATTCTATTTGATAATTTATTTTAAATTTAATGTATTAAAGAAAAACTTTATATATGACTCACATGGCTCTATATTAAAACTTTTTTTTATCGACAGTCAGTCTTATAGGTTTTGTTCCTGATAGGCCAAGCTTTATTGCAAATACATCGTTTGTGTCGCACATCTGTGATTGACGTTGCCTTTTACCAAATTGTGTATGTCAGACATATACGTTTAACGAGGCTCGTGTAGAAATTCTTAGCACACACATGACTTACATGGCGATTAACGTATTAAACGATAAATTTCAAATTTTCAAAGTTTGTCGACTTGTACAATACTTGTTAATTTCATACTAAAGATTTCAAAACAAATGTTTTTCGTTTGTATTCAGGTATATGACATTCAATATGAGCTTTTTAATCGTCATTGGAGGCACGCGTAATATGTGTAATGACTTTTACATTCTCAATATTTATATTTATATTATTATTATTATATTTTTGCATACTTGTGCGTGATCTGTAATGAAAGCGAAAACAAGGCAATTGCAATTTGCAATACGTTGAATTTACGACATTATAAAAAACCATGACGCATTTGAAAAGCAGTCGGATTGCAACGGTAATTATACTTATGGTTTACGAATCGTTTGGAAATTTCATATTCAGATAAAATTATCGTTTGCAATTAGTGATAACTGTCTAGCAATTAACCATAACATGCTAGAATCTTTCAGCAAACTAAATGTAAATATTATCAAGTTTTGTAGCCAAAAAAACTAACTTATAATTTAAGAAAAATTTCTTATTTCTTACCAACTACATCCAATTTCTCTATATAATGATTTTATAAAACATGAAAAATGGCAGTGTTCCATAAATGCTGAAATGTTCGATGACACTTGTTAAATGCTTGTTATCGTATTTTTAACTTTCTTATTTTAGGAGAGCTTAAGAATTTTGCTAGAAAATCCGATTTGTTAATTTTATATTCTCTAAACGTTTTAATTCAGGCTAAATAGTTTGACACCAAATTTGGAAAAAGTATGTGCGTGTGATAAAAGACTAAACTTTCGACCTTGTTTTCTCAAAAACAGCTGCACCGATTTTAAAAATTTAAAGTCCATTGATGAAACTCGAACTTCCCGAAGTTTATGTTTTCATAAAAAAAGCCTATTTGCTAAATTTATGTTTTCTCGATGTTTCAAGCCATTCTGAATCGAATGAAACTAAATTGGGATAAAGTATGTGTGTGTGTGTGTGAACAATTTTTTTTGGTTCTTAATCGACGTTTGCTCAAAAACGGTTAGACCGATTTCAAAAATTTAAAAGCCATTCGATGTATCTCGATAAGGACTAGCATTTATCAATTTTGCGCGACGATCAGCCAAGCCGTTTCTTTGTAAATAGCAGAAAAGTGAAAAATTTTCGTCCACGTTTTAGCCCGCAAGTGTGAATCGATTTTGAAAATTCAAAAATTGTTCGAAACATATTGGTTGGGAATCGTGCTGACTAGTTTTTTGTTAAAAATTTTTTTTTTCGACGATTTTTATGAATTTTTTTTGACGGTATATATACCATAGTCTTTTAGATTATACTAAAATATTACGGCTCTATAACAAGTCATTTAATTTTAAAAATTCGTCAAAGTTTGCACAAATTACAACGATCGGCTGAGCCGTTTCTTTGTAAATAGCAGAAAAGTGAAAAAAATTTTGTCTACGTTTTAGCTCTGAATCGATTTAAAAAAATCAAAAACTGTTTGAAAGATATTGGTTGAAAATGATACTGATTAGTTTTAGATAAAAATCTACCGGGTCGTATTCTTGATAAATTTATTTTTGAAATAAAAAGTTGAAAATTTTATCTAAGTATCTAAATTTCAATTTCGATTAATTGAGTCAATTCTTACTCATTTCGGGAAGTTCATGCAACTTGCCTTAAGGCTAAATGAGACTTTCAACTAGTTAATTAATTAAATGAAAAAGGTACATAAAACTAACATTTAGTACGCATCATTGACAAAATTTTTGAACCTTTTTATTTAGCATATTTCACTTTTTTGTGCATTGCAGCATTCTTTTGGATTTCATTTGGATAAAGGTTTTTCAAAATAATTTATATATATATATATATATATATATATTTATATGTATTTGAAATCAACTAAATTTAATACCCCAGTTTAAGTACTGTTGCAGTAATAATTTATCAACTATACGATTATCAGATAACAATTAAAAGACATTAAGAATTAAGTTATCAGTAATTGTAAATAGATTAGAAATACTTATGGATAAAATTAAATCAATAGAATTTTTAAAACATTCTGTCATAATTATGTTCTCAGAAATGAATTGATTGATATATAATTTGATAATTATACTCACGATCGAAATATATGCGGCTGCTTTTATAACATTATCCTTTGATGATGATCTGGACATTTCTGTTCCTGATTTT